TGCATCGCCTCGTCCTGCAGGATGTACGAGGTCAATGTGTCCTCGTTGAGCGTCGCTCGCGTGCTCGGCGCCATCGACAGCCGCTTCAGCAGGTTGTAGCTGCTCGGGAGTCCTTGCATGACATGCGTGACGTACGAAGCCGTCGAGTATTGCGCGCCAGCCATCCGTATGGTGGCGAGAATTCGCCGAGCTCGGTTGCAGTAGTCACTCGTGGTCTCCTCGTCGCCCATACGCAGGTGCGTCAACTGCCCCTCAAGCTGGGAGATGAACAAGTCGTCAGTGACCTGGTAAGTTGACTCGATGAAATGCCACGCCCGGTGGCCAGCGTCGAGGTACTCCCTGCACGACTTCAGGGCGATCTGTACGCCCGGCGAGCAGCACCGCGAAATGACCGTAAAGGTCAGCAGCTGCACGGCGCGAAATTCCGCTCGCAGGTCGGGGTAGTGTTCCTCCGGCGTCGCCACGGTTCCGCGGGCGAAGCCCATCAGCCGGCCATCTCCAGCTGGGGCTCGATGGCTTCCTTCCACGTTAGGATGTCGGGACGACCGACCAGTAGAGGGATGACCGAGATCCTGTCCGGCGTAAACTTGAAGTAGCCGTAGCTCGGCGCAATTCCTCCCGCGGTCACGTGAGTTGCCGACATCGGCGCCAATTCACTTCGTCTGCCTCCGACGTAGTTTCGCGGGGCCCCTGCAGCCGCGGACGACTGCATCCCTCGTGTCTGAACGCCGCCGACTTCATCGGCGCGAATCACACCTCGCTGCCTCGACATGCCTCCCGCGCTGCTGCCGACTTGGCCACCACCCGCGTTGACGTCCGCGTCAACGCCGCCCGCGTTGTTCACCGGTCGAGGAGACGCAGGCCGAGAGGGAGGGTGCTCCGTCGCCCACAAGGAGCGGATGCCAGCCTCGACGACCGTCCAGGGGATGTCGCCATACTCGTTGGCCTCGTGCTTTCTCCTCGCGTTCTCCAGCCGTGCCTCCAGGGTGTCCACCACCCCTCCGTCACCTACGGTTTCTACCATAGTGACTACCGCACAGCTGTCGGTCTACGAACAAGCTAGGTGAGTGAGAAGTCAGCTAAACCGAAGGTTTCGTCGCGGTGTCGTCCACGCTCACCGCACCATGCGGAGATAACTGGTGCAACGGGAGATAGACTACGGGCTAGGCACGGGGCAAGAGTGATCGTAGCGTTCGTTCGTTCCTTAGTCGTTTCCAAGTGCTAATACTGCTTGCTAGTTCACGGGGAAAATTGGCAAGAGTTTCACTAGGAAAATATGACAACAAAGGTTCAGAATGATTTCATCAACATTGGCAACACTGACTACATCAGACCTAGCAAGGCTGCTGGTCTACTGCCAGCGCAGCACGGTCGACCGCGTGCCAGCACGACTTGGTCGACCGCGCTCCAGCAGAGCAGAGTCGCGGCTTGCCAACGTTGCCCGTCCGCGGTGTGCCAACGCTGCAGTAAGTCGGCTGCACAGCGCTGCATCCGCGGGACAACGGTGCACCGGCTTCGCAGGTGCGTGCAGTTGGTTGGCGCCCAACTCCCCGTCACATGCCCAGCGCTGACACTTCACCCGTGACGGCGCCCACCAGCCACGTCGACCTCGGGATACCACCCCCGAGGTCGTCCTCGCAGACAACATTCCCGGCGACTTTCGCGCACATCGCCCGGGTATCCTGGTTGACCGGGTATTTCGCGGTCCTCCCGCGGTTTCTCGGCCACCGCGGTCCTCCGCGGTTTCGTGGATCCACGGTCCCCCGTGATTTCGTGGCTCCACGGTCCCCCGTGATTTCGTGGCTCCCACGGTCCACCACGATTTCGTGGCTCCCACGGTCCACCACGATTTCGTGGCTCCCACGGTCGGCTCCGCCCAAGCGAGGACGGGGCCAAACACAACTCCTGTTGACAGTGACGGGTCATCAGAGGAAGGAGCAAACCCAAGAGATGCAATGGTTGCATTTGCTTCTGAACGAATTTTGGCTGAAAAATTCCTCAGAGAGACTCAAATAGGCATCATGAGAGATTCAAAGTGTAAGAAAAAAACATTTTCCTTACTGGGATTTACTCAACCGCGTACAACCCCAACTTTTGAAAGTGCACTTTCGGCCGATTTACTTGCGGCCGAAGCAACCTCGCGTCGCCTTCGACTTTCCTTTGCCCAATCTGCACCCAACCTCGTGTCCCCGAGGTTCCCGCCTAGCTAGGTTGACCCGCTATGTTATCGCGTGCCTTTCATTGTATCGTCAATTGATAGTGTCACAGCTTCGTTATTAGTTTTCCGCGCAACTCTTCATTATTGGTTTTCCGCGTAAACATTGTTTGACAACTCATAACACAAACGGGCATCATGTGTATTGTACTTTGGGTTGACTATGGAGATCCATGTCCGTTGACCAGGTTGTGTGGGTATTCGCAAGAGTTCGTTTGAACTGCTGTCGAAGAGGGTCGTTCGTTCTCGCACAGATCGAATCGACTCGTGCTTTTACTGTACGCCAGCAGGTTTGTTGGGCGGATCCAGCGCGTACGTTTTCAGCTGGTGTACAGCTCGTTCTGTGCGGTTGATCGTCTTCCGTCACGGTGCAAAACGGTGAATTAAAATTACCGCTGTGCACCGTTTGATATCGTTTTGAACCACGATATCAGTAAATTATCTGCAAGTGTACGGCTGGACCCCCCAAATGACAAATGTGGACGCAGACCCTACGCCATTGAGGACGAAATCATCTACAGACGCACGCGGCTGTAAGTGAGGGAAGGTGAGGGACCAGCTGGCAAGGGAAGGCACCAACTGCCTGGCAACATGAAATCGTGATCCTATCCTACCCCCAGCACATCATTGCATAACCACCTTTTCCTCGAGTAGCAGTTGTGGCGAGGCGATCACCATAGCTTCCCGCGGGGCAGTCCCAATACTACTGTACGCTCACCGCGACAGGCCGACTCGCCGGAATGGCGACTATCAGTTCGGGGATTAGCTTGGAAATGTCCGAAGCAAATTTCAGAATGCAACCTAACGGAAAACGTAGTCAATTCGAAGTTTTTTTCCTGCTGAGAACGTGCTGGGACGGATGAGTTACTTCTGCATCTCTCGCCGCTGTTTGCGGGTTCAACCAGGGACCACAAGTATTCTCTGTGTCGCGATTTTCCTACGGGTTACGTTTCTCCTCTATCTCGTACCGTTCGTTCGCGTCGCTGACGGTCTCGTCGACTGTTATAACCTAACAAATTCAAGTATGATGCTCCGCCTCTCCCGTTCTTAGTATCCCCAAATTTACTGCTTCGTCGTAAGCACAATCGTAGCGACGGCTCTCTACTCAGTCCGACTGAGTCAAATTTCAACCCTCGAGAGATCTCTCTCGCCAGGCGTATTTAGATTTCCACATTCTATACTCGTTTTCCTTCCGTTGATTCTATCCTTTTCTTCCTCGTCCCATTGCAAGTCCTTTTTAATCGTGTGCCCCATTCTCCTCCTCCCGTTTTGTCGTTCAAGCTGTACATATTACTACCGCCAACGTGCTAAAAACTGGCAAAGCTGCATCTTTAGGGTTTCCTTTCTACTATCCCGCTCAGTTACCCTATAAATCTCCAATTCTTTTCCATTATACCCCATCTTCTTGGCCGTCACAGGTGAATCGTCAAACCTCCTCTCGAACCCAAGCTTCGATACAAGCTGTCTCGACACAGGGCGTCGCAAGAAGCTGAACTCTTCGTGCCAGCCATGGCCGTACTTATTCCCGTGGCGCGCGTTTGAGCCTGGAGAAACATTCTTAAACAACGATATCTTAGCCACCGCATCTGGCGGCGGAAATCGCGGAACGTCGCTTGCCCCAGCGGGCCCAACTCTGGCGGAAGCTTTTGCGACAGCAAGCAGGGCAGCGCCGCCTGCTGACGTGTCAATAGTGAACGGGGTAGCGGGAGTCACGGACATCCTACTGGCAGCTGACGGCTCCCGTTTTTTACGGCTGACATTTGATATTTCCGTGTCGTCTAGTGGCGACGGCGCTTCCGGTACTAGTAGCAATGGTAGTGGTAACAATAGTAGCAGCAGCGGCCCAGGCGTGTCGCAAGCGCTGTGCGAACTCAAACCCGCGGCGCCCACGAGCAACGTGTCGCAGCAGGCGCAGCAGTCCCCGCGCCAGCTGTCCCTCTCGTTCTTTGCGCGCGCCAGCCTGTGCGCGGAGGGGGAAGGGGGCGCGGAGGGGGAAGGGGGCGCGGAAGGGGAGGCGGAGCGGCTGTTGAAGGTGCTGCTGCTGGCAGTTCCGCTGAACGCTTCCGCGGCCGCCGCGGCAGGGGGAGGGGCGGGGGAGCAGGTGTGGGGGGAGTGGCGGGTGGGCGTGCCGTGTGGGGGGGGCAGCGCGAGTCTGTCCGGCGCCTTGCCCTGGTTCCAAGTGGGACCCCTCCTCTTCCCCCTCCTCGAACCCCCCTCCGCCTCTTCTTCCTCCGCCTCTTCGCCTTCCTCGTTGGTAGTGCCTCCAGGGGGAGTGGCGCTGCACTTGGTGATTCGAGGCGTGCAAGGCAGTAACAGCAACAGCACTGCCACCGTCGCCACCACCAGCGGTTTTGCCACCGCCACAAGCAGCATAGTTGCCAGTAGCAGCAGTGACACCAGTAGCGTTGGCGCCAGCACCAGCACACGCAGCAGCAGCAGAGCAACACCAGGAGCAGGGGGAGCAGCGGGAGCGAACGCGACGGAAGCGGGAAGCACTGCTATCGACCTCGTGTCTGTCATGCCCGCTAGCAGTGAGTCAGAGAGGCAGCAGTGGTTGGCAGGGTCACGACTCACGGGTGTGTCACAGGTATGGCAGGAGGGAGCATGCGCGGCACACTGAAAGCATGCGCGGCACACATCCTCTCAACATCCAAGTTCTAACCTCCCACAGCCCACTCCAGTGCATGATCAATCCATCACTCACTTGTGCTCCCACTCTTCCCCCACCGTCACCTCCCCCCCATCCTCCGCCACTCCCCATCCCCCCCACCCCACTGCCCCGCAGCCGACCCTTCCCCCCTCAAGTCGTTCTCCCAGTGGCCCCTCTCCAGCGCCCACCCGCTCCTCACAGCCGGCTCAGCGCGCCGCAACCGCTCGTCGCTCTCCCTCACCACGCTCTCCGACCTGAATGCCGCATCCCTCGCGCTGCACCCCGCCCCCTTCGCCCTGCTCGCCCCTGCCACGCCCACCTCCCCCTGCCGCCCCTTCTCCTTCTCCACCTCCTTCACCTTCCGCATCTCCTCCCCCAACGCCGCGGGGCTGGGCGGCGAGGGCTTGGCGTTTGTGATGCTGCCGACGCCCACGCTCGGCCTGCCGGGGCCGTCCCTGGGCTATGGTCGTCTGCTGCTGCCCCCCGGGAGCACGGCTAATGCTTCTGATGATGGTTCCAGCGGCAGCAGTGCGGCAGTGTCATCTCAGGTACACTCTAACTCAGGTGGGCAGCAACTCAGTGTTTCACGTGGGCAGCAACTCAGTGTTTCACGTGGGCAGCAACTCAGTGTTTCACGTGGGCAGCAACTCAGTGTTTCACGTGGGTAGCAACTCAGTGTTTCACGTGGGCAGCAACTCAGTGTTTCACGTGGGCAGCAACTCAGTGTTTCACGTGGGCAGCAACTCAGTGTTTCACGTGGGCAGCAACTCAGTGTTTCACGTGGGCAGCAACTCAGTGTTTCACGTGGGCAGCAACTCAGTGTTTCACGTGGGCAGCAACTCAGTGTTTCACGTGGGCAGCAACTCAGTGTTTCACGTGGGCAGCAACGCACTTGAAGACTTACACGGGCAGAAACGCACACAGGTGGGCAGCAATGCATAAACTCAGGTTGTTACTCCGCTTGTCTTGTGAATGAACAGCTAAGCAAGAGAGTCTTGCTTGCGGCTCTCTCGTTCTCTCGCCTTCCTCCTCTGAAGTGCAGCAACACTGGAGCCGCGCAGTTAGAAAACTGAATTTCTCAACATGCCCCGTCCCATCCCCACCCTTCTCTTTTACAGCAGCACAGGAGTCTGGCAGTGGAGTTTGACACATGCGCCTCCCCGGAGTTCTGGGACCGGCAGGAGCACCACGTGGGGGTGAACGTGGATGGCAGCATGCTCTCTCTCGCCTCTGCCCCCGTGCACCCCGTCGGTATCCCCTCCCTCAACGCCGGCCGAACCCTCCTCGCCACCATCCAATACAACGCCTCCTCCTCCCAGCTCACTGTCTGGCTCTCCCCCGCCCCACCCTCCTCTTCCTCCTCTTCTTCCTCCTCCTCCCCTCCTCCTCTCCCCCGCTCTGCTGTCCTCACCACATTCCTCGACACCTGCGAGTGGCTCGGTGGGAACGACCCGGAAGCAGCAGCAGCAGCAGCGCCACCCCCGCCGCTGTTTGTGGGCTTTACTGCGGCTACTGGCAAGGGGGCGGAGCAGGCGCAGGCGCACGAGGTGCTGGGGTGGAGTTTCCAAGTCGGGGAAGGTGAGTGAGTGGAGGTATCGTCATCCCTGTTTTGAGCGTATATCATAAGGGTGCAGGCAAAGGAAATGACCCTTGCATTACTATACCACCTGTGAGGAGCTCGTCTCGTGTGAGGAGCTCGTCTCTTGTGAGGAGCTCGTCTCGTGTGAGGAGCTCGTCTCTTGTGAGGAGCTCGTCTCTTGTGAGGGGTTCAGAGAAGATGACCTACAGGGATGCGTATCTTATCAGCACCAGCAGTGCTTGGCTCGGGGTGTGATGTCCTCATCCAAACCTTCACAGAAAAGTATAGATTCGACCCAGACCCAACGACCCAATCTCGTCCTAATCCTCACTATTCCATAGGTGCCTAGGCTAGGTAGGGATGTAGGAAACAAGGAAAAATTATTCCCAGCGGAGCGTATGCGTTTCGGCACGGTGGCCTTCATCAGCGCTTATACCCTAGAAACAACATCAACCACAGGTCATGACTTGGCTCTGGGTGTGATGTCCTCATCCAAACCAAACCTTCACACGAATCCCCTCCCCCTTTCCCCTCCTCCCCGGCTCCCCCCTCTCCCTTGCACCCCCACTCCCCCCCCTGTTTCACACATCACATCACATCACATCACATCACATCACATCGTCAACCCCAGCAGCAGAGGATATGCTCCCGTTTTGGGCGGCAGACTCGTTCTCCTTCCGCTACATCACGCCAGCCACTCCCCTGCTGACACGTGGCAGCACAAGGAAGCGTTTCTTCGCCGCCGACCTCTCTGTCGCTGCTGACGTGGCATCCACCAGCCAATCAGACGACCCCGCTCCTGGAGCCATCTTCTTCCCTCGCCGTCTCCCCCTCCTCTACCCCTCCTCCTCCCCTCCCTTCCCTCCTCCTTCCGTTCCTCTTCCTCGCAGCTCCTCCCGCTCCTCTCCTTCCTCCGTTCTCCAACCCTCAGCCTCCGAACCTCCCGTCTGCATGGCCCGCTCTTTCACCTTCACATACGGCTTTTCCATGAACGTATCCGCGTCTCAAGGGCTCGCATTCGTTATAAGCACGCATGCGAGTGTGGGCCTAGGCGGGGCTTATATGGGGTACGGCCGGGACCCGTCCTCCCGACTCGCTAATGGCAGCTGGCCGGACGGCGCGCGAAGTGTAGCTGTGGAGTGGCGCACTGTACCAAACCCAGAAACTGGCGATATAAATGATTTAAATGGTGTACAGGTCGGCATTAACACCGATTTTAACAGTACTTCGGTATTTGCAACGGAGGCGATGTATGCGATGGAGCCGGAGGGGGTGTGGCAGATGAGGGTTGACTATAACGGGAGCAGCAAGGAGCTGGCGCTTCGATGGTACCGCCCGCCTTTTCTAAAAGGCAGCGTGAGGGTCTCTATTGACCTGTGTGCTGCTCTCAGTGGCGCCTCTGGCAGCAGTGGAAGCAGCAGTGGCAGCAGCGGTGTGACGGACCCAGCATCGCCATCGTTCGGGCAGCTGTTCGTGGGGTTCACCAGCGCTGCTCTCCCTCCCCCCCCTGGCCGCCTGCCTTCCCCCGTCACCCTCTCCTCCTGGACCTTCAGATTCACAGGTAAGGGGGGAGGCGAGGGGGCGAGGTGGCGGGGAGGGAAAGAGAGAATGGGTAGCAAGCCGCGTGCCCTGCCAGGCTGCCCCCGTTGGCCTCTCCTCCTGGACCTTCCCGTTTACTTGGAAATTTCTAACCATCTGCGTGGAGGGGCTGGAAGCCTCTTTCCTACCGCTTCACCCCCCCCCCCTTTTGAGGCGCCTCAAAAGTCCTCTCCTCCTGGACCGTCCGGTTTCCTTCGAACTTTCTATCCATCTGCGTGCGTGGAGGGGCTGGAAACCTCTTCCCTCCCGCCTCGCACCCCCCCTTTCCACTCCCCCATTCCCATCCTTTCCTTCCAAGGCCTCTCCACCGCTGCCCTGTGCCATGCCTGCATGCTCCATGCTCCACCCTTTCCCCGTTCCCATCCTCCCTCCCCCCCAACAGACACTGACCCCTGCACGGGTTCTCCGGTGCTGCCCTGTGGAGCGGGCGTGTGCAGCAATGCACCAGCCCCATGGGACCCCTCTTTCCTCGTCTCTCATACCCTCTCTCTCCCCACTCCTCGTCCGTCTCATACCCTCTCTCTCCTCACTCCCCCTGTCTGCCTCATCCCCTCTCTCCCCTCACTCTCCACTCTCTCACTCATTCCGTTCACACCCCCCCAAACAGACACTGACCCCTGCAAGGCCTCTCCAGTGCTGCCCTGTGGAACGGGCGTGTGCACCAAGGCGCCTGCCCCATGGGACCCCTCTATTCTCGTGCCCTCCTGCAAGTGCCCCTTCAATCTTCCCTCCTTCCAACCCTCGCACCTCGCCGGCCTGCCCTCCTGCTTCCCCGGTGAGTCGTGGAGTGCCGTTGGCAAGCGGTGGGGTGCAGTAGGTGAGAAGTGTAGTGCGGTGGGTGAGAGGTGGAGTGCGGTGGGTGAGAGATGGAGTGCGATGGGTGAGAGGTGGAGTGTGGTAGATACCCTTTTGGTTTGTGGATGGCATAGTATCGTTCTCGATTCACAACACTCTTGAGGAAATGCAAAAGTTCGTTCCCGTCAAATTTGAAATTTCCTTTATTGACCTGCTGTTTCTTTTTCCTTTTTTTACGGCTCTTGAAAATTCTTAAAAGTGTGCGTTCTAGTGCACTATGACCGCCTCTGCAACACCCCTTTTCTCCATTCCCCTCCTTTATCTCCTACCGCCCTTCCCCTTCCCTCTTCTTTTCCTTCCTCCTCGATTCCCCTTTCTCCTCCTCCCCTATTCTCCATCCCCCTTTCCCCTTGCCCACGTGTCCCCATCTCCCGTCCCCTGTTCCGTTTTCCCACTGCCCCCTTCCCCCCCCCCCACCCCCCCCGCCCTCTCACCAGATTCCTTCACGTGTCGCCAGCTCCCCCGCAACCCATGTGCCCCGGGGGTGTGCATGGATGACATAGACGGCACCTACTCCTGCCTCTGCCCCTCGCCCTTCTTCCCCTTCTTCTATTCGAAACGCACTACCCGCTGTTACCAATGTGCGTAACCACACTTGCTACCTGCCTCTGGTCCCAAAGAGGAAGTAACTGGGTTTTTCCATCCCCTGCCTCTAGCCCTCGCTCTTCTTTCACTTTAACTTCGTCCCCAAAGAAACCAGCGAGTTTTGAGTGGACTCAAAAGTCTTAGGCACATTAGGTAAATTAATTTGAGTGGACTCAAATCAAAAGTCTTAGGCACATTAGGTAAATTTATTTTGAGTGGACTCAAAAGTCTTAGGCACATTAGGTATATTAATTTGAGTGGGCTTACTGTTACCGCAACCTTTCTGCTTGCATTGCAATCTGCCTGCCTGCCTGCCTGCATGCCTGTCTGCCCCATGCTCACGCACCCCGTGCATGCATGCAGTGCGATCGTTTGAGCTGCGAGTGCCCACCTTCCTGTCTCCCTACGGTCTCACATGCCCTCTCATCCTCAACACTTACGGGCTCACCCAAGCGGCCTTCTTCAGCCAAAACAAGGTCTGAAAGGCTTTGGTCAGGAAGGTTTGGGCTGTGGTTGGGGTCACGGGACACATCACATCACATCATATCACATCACATCACATCACATCACATCACATCACATCACATCACATCACATCACATCACATCACATCACATCACATCACATCACATCACATCACATCACATCACATCACATCACATCAGGCATCGCAACTCGTTTCCTCATCACGTGCCCCTTCATTCATCCTCAAACTCAACTATGTTCGTGGCGCCCAAAGAGTCCTCAACACTTACGGACTCGCACAGGGCGAATTCTTCAGCCAAAACAAGGTCAAGCTTTTGACGGGTTTCACAAAAGGTTATCAGTTCGTTCGGGTTACCACAAGTTACATCAGATCGCATGACATCACACAACCACATTGACATCACACAACCACATTGACATCACACAACCACATTGCCTTTCTGGTCACCTGCCCCCCCTCATTGCCCCTCACGGCCCCTCATTGCCCTTCACGGCCCTTCATTGCCCCTCACGGCCCCTCATTGCCCCTCACGGCCCTTCATTGCCCCTCACGGCCCCTCATTGCCCCTCACGGCCCTTCATTGCCCCTCACGGCCCCTCATTGCCCCTCACGGCCCCTCATTGCCCCTCACGGCCCCTCATTGCCCCTCACGGCCCCTCATTGCCCCTCACGGCCCCTCATTGCCCCTCACGACTCCTCACTTCCCCCCAATTTTCGCACTTTCCCTCACTTTCCCTCACTGCCCCTATCTTCCCCTCATTCTTCCCGCCACCCATTCTGCCTGCCTCGTCCCATTCCCTCCCTGTTCTGACTGCAGAGCTTCCAAACTCATACCCCCTTCCATCTTGAGTTTGTAGTCATTCTTTTTCTGTCGACTACCCACGTTGCAACCCACCCAATCCGTCATCTCTCCTTGATCGGACTGCAGGGCTTCCAGTGCCGAGCGCCCATCCCTGTGGAGACTGTCATCAACGTCACCAGCCGGGCTTACTCCCAATGCACCTCCATGTACACTGCTAATTATGTAAGTGCCGTTGCGTTTATGTAAGTGCGATTGCGTTTATGTAAGTGCCAGTGCGGTTATGTAAGCGCCAATCCGAATATGCAAGCGCCAATCCGAATATGCAAGCGCCAGTGCTTTTCTGTAAGCGTCGGTGCGTTTACGTAAGTGCCATTGAGCTTAACCCCGAAACCAGCATTCTATTCAATGCTCACTGTGAATCTGCAGGGTGACTCGTGTGATTCCATCAATGCCCTCTTCTCCACGCCCATACAGCCGCTCAATTCGATTCTCCCAATAACCGCGCATCCTCTTCCCACTCCCTTCTAAACCCGACCTGACATGTGTGTCTGCAGGGTGACTCGTGTGACTTCCTCAACGCCCTCTTCTCCACGCACATTCAGTCGCTCAACCCCGCCCTCAGCTGCTCTGATGGGCCCCGGCCCGGCCAGGTGGGGTGCTGCAGATGATGAGTGGAGATGAGTGCAGATGAGTGGAGATGAGTGCAGATGAGTGGAGATGAGTGCAGATGAGTGGAGATGAGTGCAGATGAGTGGAGATGAGTGCAGATGAGTGGAGATGAGTGCAAATGATGAGCGCAGATGAGTGCAGGTGCATGTGGGTGCAAGTGGGTTGCGGTGACTATACCGTGTGCCTAATTGGGTAGAGGTGAGTGTAGGTGGGTAGAGGTGAGTGAAGGTGGGTGGAGTGGAGGTGAGTGTAGGTGGGTGGAGTGGAGGAGAGTGTAGGTTGGTGTCAGAGAATGCGGGTGCACAGCACACTGCATGTTAGATCAATAAGAGATCATCAGGGTAATGCCCCTCTTTTTACGGGCTTGAGGAATCTGAACTGTGCTTGCTGTTGCCGCCACATTCCTCTAGTTTGCTAAGGGTGGGAATCCCTGTTCTTCAAATCTGCCGTGTTGGATATATATGTGCTGCTTGATAAATTATTGATTCATGATTGATGCCCAAGATGGGCTCTACTGCTCGCGGAAGTTCTTGCATCGCATCACATCACATCACATCGCATCGCATCACATCACATCGCATCGCATCACATCACATCACTTCACATCACATCACACCACACCACACCACACCACACCACACCACACCACACCACACCACACCACACCACACCACACCACACCACACCACACCACACCACACCACGTCACGCCACGTCACGCCACGCCATGCCACGATACGTCACACCACGTCACGTCACACACACCACATCACATCTTAGCACATCTTATCGCATCGTGTCGCACAATGCATTTAGGTCTATATTCGACTTTGATCTCCATGTCCTAATAAATGGGCGTTTATTCACACATCCCTCTCCACCACCCTCTCCCCCCACTCCCCGTTCCTCCTTCCTCGTCTCCCCCCTCTCCCTCCTCTCTCCCCCTTCTCCCTCCTTCACAGCTCCTCTGTGTGGACTTCAACAGGACGTGGCTGGAGCTGGCAAAAACCCGCGTGGCATGCCAAGTCTTTGCACAAATCACCCCAGCCATCACCACAACCCCGGCCACACCGCCACCCAGCCCTCAACCACCACCTCCCCTAGTCGAGTATATGGACCAGGGCGTGACCATGAAGGTGCTCCAGGGCGCGCAGTCCTGCCAGCAGTTGTGGCGGGCGTTTGGTGTTGACTCCCCCACGCGCTTCTTCCAGATGAATCCCGGGCTGTCGTGCGACTCCTTGCTGCCGTACAGCCCCACGCAGGCCAATGTGATGAGTAAGGTGAGTTGGGTTGCCTGTGTGCGATGGGTTGGGGCCAAGTGGGGGGCCAAGTGTATGGCGTCGCCTCCACCTCCCCTAGTCGAGTATATGGACCAGGGCGTGACCATGAAGGTGCTCCAGGGCGCGCAGTCCTGTCAGCAGCTGTGGCGGGCGTTTGGCATCGCCTCCCCGATGAGATTCTTCCAGATGAATCCCGGGCTGTCGTGCGACTCGCTGCTGCCGTACAGCCCACTGCAGGGCAATGCGATGAGTAAGGTGAGTTGGACGGGGGGCGGATGGGTGAGTTGGACGGGGGGCGGATGTGTGAGTTGGACAGCCTGTGTGTGCGTGCGGTGTGGGTTAGGTGGGCAGGGTGGGTAGTGGAGAAGGAAACGGGATGGGAGATGGATGATAGGAAGGGGAGGGAGGAGGGATTGGGGGGGAGGGTGGGTAGTGTTTGTTAAAATGTATATTGTGTAGCATGCCAACACATGTGACTGTACACCAATTGTGGTGTACAGTTGGGTTGGGACTACACCCAACTTTGGGTGTAGTCTTGCACTTTGGGGTGCCAATCCACCCAATTGTGGTGGAGCCCCCAAATGCAACCCTCTTGACTTGTGGGTACCTCACTTCCCACAATTGAGGTTACCCCAAGCCAAGTGGGCCTAGGGTTGCCTCACTTCTACAAAGTGTGGGCAACCCAACCCACTTGACCTATGGTTCCCTCACTTCCCCAAGTGAGGTCAACCCAACCTATGGTCACTTTCATCCTTCCCTTCCAACCTTCCCTTCCAACTATGTATGCTAGGTTGTTCCTCTAATCTAATTACTTGTTCAATTCTCAATCTTCACATGGTATAGAGCTAGTTGTTCCTAAGCCTTTTCTCTCCCTCCCTCAAAGTTTTTTCTTCCCCATGGGCCCACCCCACAGCCACAAACCCCCTACGTGTGGCTCAACCTAGCATCTCCTTGGCACGACCTACGTCGTCGCCGCCCTCCCCTCCCTCCGCCGTGATTGCGCCCTCCTCGCCTGCGGATCCCACCGCCGCGAGTGCATCACCGCCCCCCGTCGCCGCGACACACCGTCGCTGGCCCCCCCCCCCCCCCTCCCCCTTTTTTCCGCCGCCGCGCCTTCTCTGGCGCCGCCTGCACATCCCGCCGCGACGCCTCGTCGCCGCCTCCTCCTCCCCCTGCCGCGACCCCCCGTCGCCGTCTCCCTCCCGTCGCCGCATCCCGCCGCCGCGACCTTCTCGTCGCCGCCTGCACCCCTTGCCGCCGCGACCTTCTCGTCGCCGCCTGCACCCCTTGCCGCCGCGACCTAAAGTCGCCGCCCGCGCGACCTCCTGCCGCGACCTGCTCGTCGCCGCCCGCACATCCCGTCGCCGCGACCTAACAATCGCCGCCCCCGCATCCTACCGCCGCGACCTGCTCGTCGCCGCCCGCGCATCCCACCGCCGCGCCTTCCCCGTCGCCGCCCGCGCATCCCTCCGCCGCGCCCTCCTCGTCGCCGCTCGCTCATTCCGCCGCCACGACTCCCTCGTCGCCACCTGCGCATCCCGCCGCCGAACGTTCCTCGTAGCAGCCGCCTCATCCCGCAGCAGCAGCGTCATTGGCAGCAACAGCTTCGCCCACAGCTACACCTGCGTTCTCCCTCCCCCTCCCCCTTTCCTCCTCCTCTCCTCCCACGCAGCAGCAGCTGGGACAGCTCAGCAGCCACAGCAGCAACAGCGGCAGCATCAGGAGCAGCGATAGCAGCGGCAGCAGCTGCATCCACCATCTTCCTCCCCCTCCTCCCCTCCCCCCCCCCCTCCTCCCTCTCAGCAGCAGCAGCGGCAGCAGCGGCAGCAGCCGGAGAAGAACTCCACTCCCCGCAGCAGCACCCCCCCCCCCCCCCTCCCCCCCCCCCCCCCCCCCCCCCCCTCCTCCCTCTCGGCTGCCGCGGGTCCACCCGCCGTCGCCCTCCCACTTGACCGCCGCGGGTCCACCCGCCGCCGTCCACCTCGAGGCCGCCGCGGGTCCACCCGCCGTCGCCCCTCATGGCTACCACTCCTCCCCCTCTCCCCCCTCCCATTGACGCCTCCTCCGTCGACAAGCTTCAGCTTGCCGCGGACCGCTCGGCGATCAACTGGCATTCCTTCGTCGGGAGCATCCGCCGTGTTCTCCAAGATGCATTCGTCGGACCCTACTGCGTCCTTGACGTCCTCCTCCGCCGCCCGCAAGCCCTCCAGCCCACGGCACCCAATCACCCCGGCGAACCCCCTCCACCCCCCATTCCTCCTGGTCCTCCTCCTCCTGAACCCACCTTGGAGATCGCCACTTCCCCAGCGCTCCAAGATGCCGCCGATGCCGCATTTCTCCACGATCGCCGCGAATACCTCATCCGCAAGGCGGAGCATGAGGTTGCGGTACATAACCACGACTTCGCGGTAGCGGAACGCGCCAATCGCCTGGCGCTCCTTGATGAGTACAATACGGCCATGGCGGACTACCTCCCTCGGAGCATCGCATGGGCCACTGCTGACAACCGCGCCTGCACCATCCTCCTCGGCGCACTCCCTGATACCCTCATGCGCCGTTTCCAAGCTCGCGAGATGCGCGCCTCCCTCATCTGGGCCGAGCTCCAGGCCATGTTCGAGCGTCGCGACATCAGCTCTGTCGGCGCCCTGTTCCAGGAGTACTTCTCCATCACCCTCGCCACTTGTGATGGCGCAGTTGACTACGTGGGGCGCATGCAGGAGGTCGCTGAACGCCTTGCGGCACGCCAAGCTGCCCTCCCCGAGCCCCTGCAAATCCACCGCCTCCTCTACAACCTCACCCCGGACTACGAGTCCCGCCTCCATGCCTTCACTGAGGCCAACCCCATGGCCGGCCTCGACGACGTGGTCCAGTGGATCATTGACACGGAGGTCAAGCTCCGCACCCCCGTTGTCAACCTTACCACCCCTCAGTCCTCCTCCTCCACCTCCCTCAACGCTACGCAGCCGCGCAACCAGGGTGGTCGCAGCGGCGGCGGCGGAGGCCGTGGAGCGGGTGGCGGTGGTGGTGGTGGAGGCCGTGGTGGTGGCGGTGGTGGTAGTGGTGGCCGTGGTGGCCGTGGTGGCGGTGGTGGTGGTGCTGACAGCGCCCCTGCTGGAGGTGCTGTGACTCGAGGCGGACGCCCTGGCACTCTCCCCCCATGCACATATGTGCGTCGCCATGGTCCCCATGCAGGTACCCCTTGCGGCCAGACCAACCATCCCCCCACCACGTGCTTTAAGGCACTCGACAACGCCTGGTTTGATCGCGGCAACACTGGCACCCCTCCTCGCTGGAACTCGGTCACACCTCGCCCCTCCTTAGTGGACATTCAAACCCTCCCCTCTTTCCTTCCTGCTCACCTCCGCATGGTTACCCCCTCCCCACCCTCACAGCTGCAGCAGTTTCAGCAGCACCTGTACTTCCACCAGCAGCAGCAGCAGCCGCAGTTTCTCCAGCCCCAGCAGCCGCCGCCGCCGCAGTACTTCCAGCCACCGCCGCAGCAGCAGCAGCAGTTCCTTCCCCCACCCTGGCAGCAGCAGCCACTCACCTTCGGCACAGCGGCCATGGCCGCTCATACCTCCCTTCCTCCTCCTCCCCCCTGGGGTTCCCTCCCCTCTGCCCCCCCCAGTGTTCCCGACACTTCTGGTAGTTTCCTTGGTAATATCAGTGTTGCACCGTCCGTCGCTGCCATGTATCCCTCTGCTATCAATGAGACTTCGTTTCAGTACCCCTTCCCACCCCCTCCTCCCTCTTCTCCCACCCTGGACTTTGTCCTTGACAGTGGAGCCACTGAAACCGCACTGAAAGACGCTGGCACTCTCACCCCACTACCACTTCCCACTCAAGTTCATGGGGCTGATTCCAGCTTTTCCATTCCATGCACTCACCTCTCCACCCTCCCTTGCACTGCCTTCCCCTCCGGTAAGGTCACAGGTCTCCACATCCCCACTCTCCGCAACAACCTCCTCTCCCACCGTGAGCTCCAAGGTGTTGGTATCACTGCCATTTACCCCGGTTATGCCAATTACTGTGATCTCTACCAAACCTCCTCCGGTCGCTTCCTTCTCCGCATTCCGCTTTGCCCCCGCACTCGCCTCTACACACTCCGCACGCCTCGCCCATCCTTCTGCCACGTCACCACTCGTTCCGGTGCTTCCACCGGTCCACCTCCTCCTCCTTTACTTCCCCCTTCCCCTCCCCCTCAAGTATCCTCTTCTCCCTCCCCACCATCCTCCTCCTCCCCTCCCGTTCCTTCCATCACCCCATCTCCCTCCTCCTCCACTACCCACTCCCACCCTGCTGTCCTCTTACACCACAGACTCGGCCATCCCAACTTCACCGCCCTTCGCACCACAGTCACCTCTCGCCTCCTCCGCAGCCTTCCTCCTGTTTTACCTCCCCTCCCCTCCTCCCCCTCTCCCCCATGCCCTTCATGCATTCACGGCAAGCTCAAACAGTCCCCCCACCACAGTCATCCCACCTTCGCCGCCGCCCCCATTGACCTTGTGCACATGGACCTCTGGGGCCCCTATCCCATCCGCTCCCGCCAGGGGCATCGGTACATGCTCGTCCTCGTTGACGACCACAGCCGGTACTCCACCACCTTCTTCCTTCACACGAAAGACCAGGTGCCGGCAGTGGTCATCAACTGGGCCGAACAGTGCCGCAATCACTTCAACCGCCCCATCGGCCGCCTTCACTCTGACGGTGGGGGTGAGTTCATCAATAACACCCTTGCCACATACTGCAACACCTACGGCATCCAACAGACCTCCACCCTTCCCCACTCCCCTCAGCAGAACGGCATTGCTGAGAGCCGCATTCGTGAGATCACCAAGATAGCTCGCTGTCTCATTGCTCATGCCTCCACCCCTCCTTCCCTCTGGAGCTATGCCCTCCTCCACGCCGCTCTTCTCCTTAATCTCCGCTCCCACCCTCATCATCCTTCCTCCTCCCCTACAGAGCTTTGGTCCAACGCCAAACCCGACGCTGCCGGCCTTCGCGTTTGGGGCTGCAAGGCCTTCGTTCTCATCCCACCCGCCGACCGCTCCCGCGCTGCTGGCAAGCTTGCTCCTCGCGCCCTGGAATGCGTTTACCTTGGGCACAATCGCGACTCCCCAGGCTACCTCTTCCTCCACCCTCCCACCAATCGCCTCATCCGCAGCGGCGACGTCGTCTTCGACGAATCCGTCCTCTATTACTCCACTCCTCCCCCTGATCCTCTCCCTCCTCCCACTCGTCCCCTTGCTTGGACCGACACCGTCCTCCCGCCCCTTCTCCCTCCAGCCCCTCTCCTCCCACCCGTCGCAGCTCCGCTCCCGCCCTCCTCCTCCGCCGATGTCTACGACCCTGCCGCACCCGCTTCCCCCGCTCACTCGGCCGCACCCCCTCCCCCCCCTCCCTCCTCCTCTCCCTCTCCCTCCTTCCAGCAGCCGGATCAGCAGCTGCAGCAGCAGCAGCAGCCGCAGCAGCAACAGCAGCAGCAGCAGCAGCAGCCGGGACAGCAGCCGGGGCAGCAGCAGCAGCAGCAGCAGCCGGGCCAGCAGCAGTAGCAGCAGCCGGGCCAGCAGCAGCAGCAGCAGCGGCAGCCGGGACAGCAGCAGCAGCAGCAGCAGCAGCAGCGGCAGCAGCAGCAGCAGCAGCCTCAGCAGCCTCAGCAGCCGCAGCACCAGCACGGTCAGCCGCAGCCGCAGCAACAAGGGCAGCAGCTTCCGCAGCACCAGCAGCAGCAGCGGCGTCGTGCCACTTCCCGTTCCTCCCCCTTCCTCCTCCCTTACATCCATACCCGCTCTGTGGACAAAATCCTTGGGGCTCCTCCTCCTGCCTCCATTCAGCTCCTTGAGGACTCCCATGAGGAGTTTCTTAACATTCGGGAGCACACTCCATTCCTTGCCGCCCTCTACCTTGACTTCCTGGGCTTTCCTGTCCTTGGCGCCACTACTACCCCCACCATCTTCACTCCCTCCACCTTCCAGGAAGCCATCACCTGCCCTGATGCGGATAAATGGATAGCAGCGATCTTCCTGGAGTGTGAGGCTTTCATTCGCAACGACTCCTTTGTCGATGTCCCCCTCCCTGCTGGCGCTAATCTCGTTGACGGCAAATGGGTCTTTCGGGTGAAGCAGCTGCCGGGCGAGGAACCAGTGTACAAGGCCCGCTACTGCGCCAAGGGGTTCACGCAGACTTGGGCTGAGGACTACTGGTTCACCTACGCCCCCACCGCCAAACCACCCACCCTTCGCGCCGCCATGGACATTGGTGCACGTGACGACATGGAAATCGACTCCATGGACGTCTCCAATGCGTTCCTGCAGGGCGACCTGCATGAGCGCATTTTCCTCCGGCGACCCCCCGGGTTCCACGCAGCCTTTCCTGAGAACACTGTCTGGCAGCTGCGTCGCCCCGTCTACGGCTTGAAGCAGGCACCGCGTGAGTGGCATGCGAAGCTGGCTGCCACCTTGGGGTCCCTCGGCTTCTCTGCTTCCCACTCCGACGCCAGCCTCTTCATCCGCTCCTCCCCCCGCCGCTTCTTCATTCTGGTATATGTCGACGACATGATCCTGCTCTCTGACACCAAGGCCGACATGGGGCAGGTGAAGCTGTCCCTGCAGCAGCGGCTCAAGTGCAAAGACCTTGGCGCCCTCACTCACTACCTCGGCATGACCATCACGCGCAACCGCCCTGCTCGCACAATCACCCTCTCCCAGTCCCATTACATCGGCCAGGTCTTGGAGAAGTTCGACATGGCGCAAGCCAAGCCTGTTTCCACCCCGCTCCCCTTCGGTCACCAACTCGCTCCACCCACCTCCCCCACCTCCTCCCCCCACCCCTATGCCGAGCTCGTTGGGTCCTTGATGTACGCAATGATGTGCACCCGCCCCGACCTCGCCTACCCCATCAGCATGCTCGCTCGCTTTGTCGGCACCGGTCGTCACTCTGAGGAGCACTGGAAAGCTGCCAAGCGGGTCCTCCGCTACCTTCGCGGGACCAGGGACCTTGCCCTCACCCTCGGCGGCCCTTCCCGTCCCCTTCTCTCGGGCTTCAGTGACTCCTCATGGGCTGACACGCAGCCGGACCGCCGCTCCTCCCAGGGCTACGGCTTCACCCTTGGCAGCGGCCTCATCAGCTGGCGCTCCACCCGCTCCTCCGCCATCTCTCTCTCCACCTGCGAAGCCGAGCTCTACGCTGGCACCATGGCCGCCCAGGAGTCACGCTGGCTCTGCTTCCTTCTTGCGGAGCTTGGCGCCCCCCAGACGTGCCCCACTCTCTGGTGCGACAACGCCAGCACCATCCATCTCACTCAGGACCCCGTCTATCACGCCCGCTCCAAGCACATCGAACTCCGCTACTTCTTCGTTCGCGAGCTCGTCCAGAAGGGCCTCATTGCCGTTCGCAAGATTGCAACCGAGGCCAACTTGGCCGACATCTTCACTAAGGCCCTCCTTCGCCCCGCGCACTCTGCCTTCCTCCGCCTCATTGGCCTTGCTCGCCCGGGCGCCCCTTGATTCAGGGGTTGTTCTCTTCTTGTGTTAGCATGCTAAGGGGTTGTGTTAAAATGTATATTGTGTAGCATGCCAACACATGTGACTGTACACCAATTGTGGTGTACAGTTGGGTTGGGACTACACCCAACTTTGGGTGTAGTCTTGCACTTTGGGGTGCCAATCCACCCAATTGTGGTGGAGCCCCCAAATGCAACCCTCTTGACTTGTGGGTACCTCACTTCCCACAATTGAGGTTACCCCAAGCCAAGTGGGCCTAGGGTTGCCTCACTTCTACAAAGTGTGGGCAACCCAACCCACTTGACCTATGGTTCCCTCACTTCCCCAAGTGAGGTCAACCCAACCTATGGTCACTTTCATCCTTCCCTTCCAACCTTCCCTTCCAACTATGTATGCTAGGTTGTTCCTCTAATCTAATTACTTGTTCAATTCTCAATCTTCACAGTGTTTTGCATCACCACCCCGACACGCCTCTTCCAGGTGAATCCCAGGTTCCCGTGCGCTGCCCTGCTGCTGTAGAGTCCCCTGCAGGTGAATGTTGTGGTCTATGAATATGCACATAACACCCACATGCACATAACACCCACATGCACATAACACCCACATGCACATAACGCCTCTCACATTCATGGCCCCGCATGCATGTAAACCCTCTTACATGGTTGTGTGGTATAGGAGTGTGGTGTGGACGCAAGAGAGAGAGAGAGAGAAATAGAGACCGCAAGAGAGCGTGCAAGAGAGAGTGCGAGGGAGTGTGCAAGAGAGCGTGAAGAGAGAGTGCGAGGGAGTGTGCCAGAGAGTGTGCGAGAGAGAGTGCGAGGGAGTGTGCCAGAGAGTGTGCGAGAGACTAAGGAAATGGTCTTGGTCTCCCAGGAAATTGGCGTGTGAGAGTGGTTGTGTGAAGGATTGGGTCTGATGGTGTGATGTTCTGCTGCTACACAGTCCATTGCAGGAGACTCGGATGGGTGGAGAGAGGCCAGAAATTGATAGCCTAGTGTCCAGGGTGAATGGGGAGTGTATTGAAACCACTTCTGAGAATTCTCTAAAGTGATTACCATGTTTCCAGGGTGAATGGGGAGTGTGGAGAATGTGAGTGTGGGTGGTGTGGGTGTGGGGGATATGAGTGGGAGGGTGTGAATGTGGCTGG